GAGTCCCCACCCCAAAACCCCCAACGTATCACATGATCCGTACCACACTTTTGGATGAGCTTGATGTGGAAGTCCAAAAGTGTGTGAAACCTGTCCTCGCTACTGCAGCTACCTACGGTTGCACGATAATGACAGATGGTTGGACCAGCATTCGGGGCCAAACGTTGTCTAACTATCTCGTCGGCACTACACGGGGCGCCACATACGTCGTGACAGATGTTATGCGAAGAAAGAAAGATGCCACTGCTCTGGTGCAGGCTTGGCTGCGAGCGTTGAAGTCCCTTGACATCAACCTCGCCGACATCACCGCTTTCGTCACAGACTCTGCCAATTCGAACGTTTCTGCGATGGAGGTGTTCCAGAAGGATGAGAGTGTCAATCACATCTTCTGGATTCCTTGTGTGGCACACGTCATGGACCTCATCCTTGAGGACATCGGCGACATTGACTGGGTGGCGACCCGCATTGCTCAAGCGCGTTTGGTCACAAAGTTTTTCAAGCGTCATAGCCACGCTCGCGAAGTTTTGCAAGCTTTCACGACGAAGGCTCTGCTGCTTCCCGCCGAGACTCGCTTCGGTACGCATGTGATTATGATGCGACGACTTCTTCTGCGGCAATCGCATCTTATGCAGATGGTCGTTGATGATCGATGGAAGGACACTSTTTGGTCAACGAAGAAGATTCGAGACGACGCCGCGGAGGTCACAGCATGTGTCAGTTGTCCTCAATGGTGGGAGGATATGAGAACGCTGTGCAAGTTGTTGGATCCCATCATGGACATGCTGCAGATGGTGGACAGTGACACGAGGCAGATTGGCAAGATTCTGCGTTGGTATGATGAGATGATCGCGCGTTGTTTGTCTGCATGTGCCGCTTTGGAGAAGGACGAGTAGGAAGCGCTGCTTGAAGTGTTTGACAGACGCCGCACCATGTTCAAGTCACCTTCTCATGTTGCTGCCATGATGTTGGACCCCGAGTTTCGAGACCGCACGATGCCAGATGAGGAGGAGATGCAACACGGTTTGAAAGTCGCTCTGATTCAGTTTGGGTACCCGGAACATTCGGATCAGCACAACGAGGTCCTCACTGCTATTGACAAGTTCCATTCGAGGGAGCCGCCGTTCGACGACGTGGCCATGGACCGGGCGGCGAGGAGCTATACCCATCCAGCCTGTTTCTGGGAGTCGAAGGAGAAGAGGTTCCCGCACACGGCCTTCTTACTGCGTGTGTGGGCGACTGCGTCGCCTTGCGAGAGAGCTTGGTCCCGTTGGAGTTTCATCCACTCCAAATCTCGTAACAGATTGGAGGTGGCGCGGGTCGAGAAGCTCGTGCGATGCCATTGGAACCTTCGGCTCCTCGACAGGCAGGCTATGTCGGACGATGCTCCCAATGACAGGCCACATCCGTATGGGAGCTGGGTGCACTACTGGCAGCAGGTGGAGGAGGAGGTGCCCACCGACCAGCAGCTTGAGGCAGCTGAGGAACCCGTGTGACGATACGAAGGAGGAGTTGACGCAGGCGAGACAGAGGATGCACGTCGTGTCCCGCATGGGAGCCACTCGTCGCTTGCGGGAGTCTGACAGGAGGAGGTGTCGTGGCGGCGGTCGCGGAGGTGGTCGTCGGGGCGGTCGCGGGCGAGGCGGGCGTGGAGGTCCTGGCAGGAGGCGTAGTGTCGCGAGTCGTGGAAGGGCAGTGGACGAGCTAGTATGCAAGCCTCGACAACGATGGGATGAGGGAGACTTTTTGTACRAGAGCTSGTYCAGCGATGACGAGGATTTCTTCGGGAYTGGCAGGCCTGCACAGGATGGCGACAGCGATTTCGACGACCGTCACCCGAACGTGGGCGACGACGATGGCGCCAGTGGCGATGATCACGGTGACGGAGGAGATAGGCCACGACCTGCACATCGTGACACGATGCGCGCCAACGGTGCAGGGGGCGAGCACCGCACGACAGTAGATGACGCTCGAGATGGAGTGCATGATGATGGTTCACGACCTGTCTCGGGCGGTGACCTGAGGCGCKTGAAACGCGGACCAAGGGAAAAAGACACTATCGCTTCACGTGTGCGCAAACGTCATGGTGGGGTTGCTAGCATTCCACKATCACGAGTCCCCGCAACTGGGCAGATTCCAGTTTCTGAGGACTCTTTCAGCGATCACGGCGGCGAGGAGCGGATCGAGCTGCATGGTGGGAGCGGTCATCCACGAGGTGACACTTCGATTATGCACGCGACAACTCCGATGGGGCCTTCCGCAGCAGTCCCAGAATCACAACAGGGTCCAGCACCGTTGATGCGTCATCCCGAGGTTCAGGGAGAGATCAGTCCTCTCCCGGCAGTGCGGGATGAGGGTTCTGTCGGTGCACTGCATCTACTCACGTCTGCCGGAGCGGCAGTCTTAGTTGCAACGACCTCGGATGTGGGACAACCACTGGCAGCGGCGGAGCAAGAAAGTATGCTCCCACCTCGCAGTGTTCAACCGCGGCCACCGCCTGCATTGATGGAGGGGAGTCAGGGGACCGTTGTTGTGTGTSAAGGCGACGATCTCCCGGAACGTGATATCTCACACACTCCCGCAGCCGAGCAGAGTGCCGCAGACCATGTCGGCCTCGCATGCCCCACCGGCAGTCTTTCGGGTACCGGCGAGTAACTGACCATGGACTCTGCGCTCGTTTCTCTACCGGACTTGTCGACGTTGATATCCCCAGGTCTACCCCATGTGTCACCGCCCAAGCCACAACAGCCTGTTGTCATBGAGCGTGGATCGGACGGGTTTGACGTGGCAGGAGGCGATATCACCGATATGATTACGAGCCCAATGGTGTCTGCCACGCCCACAATTTTTCGTGTTGGCAAACTACGCGAGGTGGCCYTTGGTTTGGCGGAGACGRCGACGCGAMACCRCCGCGACGGTCAGCGCAGCATCGCWCAACGCAGTCTTTCTCATTCGTTTGACGGCGCAGAGGAAGGGTCTCSTGGTGGGCCAGTTGACACACTCGAAAGAGAAGCGAGACCCCCAAGTCCGCCGTCAAACTTAGAGCATCATCCGATTGCCGCAGCTGTCGGCGCAGATGCGGGCGTCCCCGTCACAAACAGTGGCGCGGACGCGACAGAACAGCTTGTGGTTAGGTCATCGGCGACAGCACGGTGCGACAGAGCCACTGTTTTGTCGACAGTGGCATTCTGTGCCAGCGGGAAGAGTACCGGGGGGATGGATGAGCAGGGAGTCCGGAATGTTGGCAGGCCATCTGCACCGTCTATGGGGAAACCATCCATTGGGAGTGTGGATGGTGCTCGGCACACCGCCATGGCCGAGTTTGAGGACCGACACGGGAGTGCTTTGCCGACGAAGACGTCTGATGTCCATGCTACGAGAGCCGCAAAGGCGAGTCTTTCTCGGGCAAGGAAGAAGGCCTCGGCAAGGAAGGCGTCACGTTCATCCTCACATATGCGTTCCCGAGAAAGAGGATCGGGCGTTGTGCATCTCGAGGACGGAGAGATTGCACCTGACGGCGACGCATTGGATGTTGGAGGGAGGGATGCAACGACGACGGATATCGTCGGCAGGGAGGGCACAGGGAATGCAGTGGCAGGTCAAAAGAGACGCGGGAGTGTACTTATCGTCCACGACGACAGCATAGATGTCGCCCCGGGAGAGACCATACGCACTGATGATGCAGCGGACTCCGATTACGTACCCAAACCACGGGCGGCAGATGAAGATGATGGAGGAGGGCGACGAGTGAGACCGAGGACACAACTCGGGCCGCAAGGGCAGCGAGCACAGGGCACACCATCGGCGATGATTCCTGCCCCCATAGATCGGCGAGCTCAGGCGCAGCGGTTGCTGCGCAAAATGGAGGCCACTCTTCAACAGACGCACGGGTTATCGCTTGGCCGCGAATAGACGGAGACTCAGAGAGAGAGAGAGAGAGAGAGAGAGAGAGAGAGAGAGAGAGATTTATCAGATACTTGCGCTGGCTGCGTTGTTCGAGAAGCAGGCCCGGGCTATCACTAGGATGGGAGGCCATATGGCCTAGGCCCGTAGCATGAGAGCCTATAGCCGGGCAGGCAGAAGCCGTTCAGAAAATTGCTTCACTTCAGCTTGTTGAACTTTTATTTTGTTACCCTCGCAATCTCGCATCCTCGCATCCTCGTAGTCTCGTAGCCTCGCAGAGTCGCAGGTATCTTATTGTGATTGGTTGTTGCCTCTTGTTCGAACTCTTGGGAGTCTTGAGAGTATTGTCTGAGGTTGTATATCTATTAAGATGGTGCAATGTTTTTTTTTTTTTTTTTATATATCTATGCAGAATTGGAAATGGACCAAATGGTGCAATTTTTTTTTTTTTGAGTACCATTGACAAACCTTCAGCCCACATAGCACACCACCCAGCCCACATAGTCCCACGGTACCACCCCCGAGTCGGCGTGCCCGCATAAATGCCACACCCTGCCAAGTTACCAACATAGTACCCCACCCACCGGGCCACCGTACACATAGTACCGCACCCACGCCCACATGGTACCCTACCCAACCCACATACTACGTCACTAGACTCACTACCCTTTTTTTTTTTTTACACAATGTCACCATAATTGCCCCTAGCCCAGCCCACTGAGCACACTGTCGAGGGCCACCCTCCCATCGCCTGGCCACACCTGCCCAGCTAGGACACAGGCTACTGGTAGCTACTAGCCAGACCTGCCTGCAGCTGGCGGGTCCGTCCACCATTCCCGCAGGGCGCCCACTGCCCAGTGCCCCCAA